TTAATCATATTCATGATCTGTCTATCGATGACATGGATTTTCATTCAGGCAGTATTTATGAGTGAGTTACTACAAGATTTATTGCAACTAAGTCTGCATGATGTAGACCTAGCAGAAGCACCAGTATGTATTGCTGCCAGTACTCCCAAGAAAAAGCAAAAATTTGCTCCCTCGACTTCACTCAGTCAGGACGATTTGTCTATTGATGGTATGGATATATCACAATTGAGTCTTGATGATGTATCTTCTGAAAATCATCAAGTTGGCGCTAGAAAACAACATGGCGATCTCTTCACTCATCATGTGGATGAATATTCATTCAATGAATCAGACACTGCTCATCATCAAGAATTTGTGCAACCACCATTGTGTAACATCGGAAACACCCTTCTTGTGATTACAAAAAATTATTTGATTTGAAAGGCCTGATTTGTGATTTGACTTGTGTTAAAACTTATAATAACTTATTTCAAAACAATTTATTCACTCTAGATACCCTTAAATATGGATTATCATCATTTAATTGGGTTTCTTTGCTTTGGACATTGCGGAAAATTGGTTTTAACCATAAAATAGTATTGTAATAATGTATTGCAAATTTTTTGTTTTGGTGGGTAGCTGCCATGTGATGTTAACAAAATGTTAGGATAGATATGTCCTGCAGTTCATATATTTTCTACTACTTTAAATTCAAAGTTGTTTCGGAAGTTACAAAATTGTTTACAGAAAATTTGAGACAACTTTTTCAAATTTTGAGTATTTTTCGCATATTAGCGCTACTATAATTAAATTATATTTTCCTTCAATATAATCACTTGGAGTAACTAATAAGCTCATTCAAACCATATACAATCTCATTAATTTATTGTTCTAGTGGGTTAAATAAGGGTCTACATTGTTTACGGAAAATGTAACGTCCGAAGCACCATTTTCAATTGCTCTGTTCCATTAAAATACAGGAGTTGAATCAGATTACTGTTATTTTTCTTTAAGATCCACCCATGCTCATTAATCATCTATTGAAAGAAGAAAACAAATTGTTTGTTGCTATATATTTTTTTCAGCTCAAACCAAAATGGTATGTCAATTTTGTTACAAAATTCTGTAAACAAATTTGCTGCTCAGGGATACCTCGCTATAAAGCAACATTTTTTTTATTAAGCTATGGCCTATGGGAGGTCAATCTAGGTCCATGCTACAAGAAAAAGTTGTAACTGATGTCTAATTCTTTATCTTTGAAAAGTTTCAGGCTCTCAAAGGGCCATTTAGCTATTTTGTCATAGTTTTAAAAAAACAACAGTACCATGCATATATACACAAGGAGAGTATCTTTTTAGGGGGGAGGTAATGGGGTCAATGCCTGATAGTGATAGTCTTGTATTTCAGGCAATGATAGTGTTATCAGTGTTAATATCTCACAAAAACCTCTTTTTAAAAGAGGAAGCATTAAAAAAGAAAATGGCGGCTGGTTTTGTGTAGAGCCCTCTATACCAAAACTGAACTATCCCTTGAAGAGAATACATGTAGTTTCTAAACTAAAATATACATTATAATCTTGTGCAGCCACTCACTTGGCATTCGTGTCTCTTGTATATTAGTGACAAAGATGTTCAAAGACAACCTTGAACATTGATCTCAAAAGCTCTCAATATTGTGATTGTTTATAGACATACCATGCAAAAAGCTGTACCAATTTTATTGAGATTTCAGAGTCTTGATGGGAATGGTTTCCAAAACTTGGCCTATCGGCATATAATGCATGTGTTCGTTTATGATATTTAATAAGTTCACAGTGTCGATATGCATTGAATAGTCATAAATTGTCTGAATGAAATATACTGCATAGCATAATTCCTATAGGTTTGGGTAATTCTAATTATAGGCATTATTGTGCATGTAGGTAAATGTATAAAACAAAGTGGTTGTAGTTTGTTATAGTCTGTTATTCCACACGCGATGAATTGTATGCAATTGTTTTGTACCTAAATAATGATTCTTTCATGTCATTCACAAATTACATTTCCACACGACAAATATTTTGCAATTTGTCATACCCATGATATGTTAAAAATGGGCTGGAAGTTATAACCAGTACGTAGCCTTCATTGATCTTGAATTAAAGCATCTTCAATATTTATAATATGTCAATTGTATTGACTTTGAATACATACAGTATTTCTGTTCACATATTATTTATACATATTTACAATGATTAATAGCCATTGACAGTGCTGTAATGAGCAAACAATTTTGGGGGTCAGAAGAAAGTCTTCATCCATTCATCACCAGGTATAGCATAATGGCAAGATTGGCAGGGTTGCAAACTTAGAGCTTGAGACTTTGTGAGGGAGTGAAGCAACTGAGCTGGGGGTTGGGGGTTGGGGGGGGGGGTGGGTGAGGGCAGGGTCCGAGGATGTTTGAGCGGTGTCTCCCTCTCCCACGATAGGGAGATTTTGCATTTTCTTCTTAATAATGTGCAATCTGGTCCATACCGGTCCTACAATTCAGTTATATGTGGTTAAGTGCATAATGATTTTACCGATTGTGATCAAGTTAAACTTTTGTCATGAAGAAAACATAATTATACCAAAATATGCACGCCAAGAATTAATGTTCATGCCCATTTAAAGCATAACACCACATATACTTATGATACAACAACATGAACAAGATATACCAGATGCAGACAAGACCGATTCCCGAGGGAGCATAGAGACCAAGTGACAGGAGGTGTGTTTGGAGGGGAGGGGAAAGAGTGTCTGCCCCTGCACAGTAAATGAGCTTTTGCAATTCTGTTGCACACCTGGGAAGGAAATTTGGCTTGAAATGAAGTAGAATCTGAGTTATAGAGTCTAAAAAAATACTCCTTTTTTCAAACACTGGTATCAAATTAAGACATGTTTTATTATTATTGGGGGGGGGGGACACTTTTTTTCTCGACAAACCTTCGTAAGAGTAAAGTATGGTGAATGAGGAACCTTGATAAGAGTGAAGTGTGGCAATCGACGAACCTTAGTTATAGTCAAGTGTGGCGATCGACAAACCTTGGTCAAAGTAGAGTGCGGCGACCGACAAACATGGTCAGAGTAGAGTGTGGCGATCGACGAACCTTAGTAATATTCAAGTGAGGCGATCGACAAACCTTGGAAAGATCAAGGTGTGGCAATCGACGAACCTTGGACAGAGTAAAGGGTGGCGATCGACGAATCTTGGTAATAATAAAGTGTGGCGATCGACAAACCTTGGACAGTTCAAGGTGTGGCAATCGACGAAACTTGGTAAGAGTAAAGTGTGGCGATCGACGAACCTTGGTAAGAGTAGAGTGTGGCTATCGACGAACCTTGGTCAGAATAAAGTGTGGCGATCGACAAACCTTGGACAGATCAAGGTGTGGCAATCGACGAACCTTGGTCAAAGTATAAAGTGAGGCGATCGACAAACCTTGGAAAGAATTAAGTGTGGCAATCGACGAACCTTGCTCAAAGTAAAGTGCGGCGATCGACGAACGTTGGTAAGAATAAAGTGTGGCAATCGACAAACCTTGTACAGATCAAAGTGTGGCAATCGACGAACCTTGGTCAAAGTAAAGTGTGGCGATCGACAAACCTTGGACAGATCAAGGTGTGGCAATCGACGAACCTTGGTCAAAGTAAAGTGCGGCGATCGACGAACCTTGGTCAAAGTAAAGTGTGGCGATCGACAAACCTTGGACAGATCAAGGTGTGGCAATCGACGAACCTTGGTCAAAGTAAAGTGCGGCGATCGACGAACGTTGGTAAGAATAAAGTGTGGCAATCGACAAACCTTGTACAGATCAAAGTGTGGCAATCGACGAACCTTTGATGGATACTTGCAAGAACAATATTCTATAACGACAAAGGTAAGGACCATTATTTTCTGTAACCCAAGAACTTTGGTTCTATTTGAGTGAAAAAGTATTATTTTAGACCATCTGAAATTGCATGAAACGGTCCATTTTTTTAGACTTTTTTGGAAAGTCTACTTTTTTTTTGGAATGGGTTCCTGGTAATATCTTCCAGTAACCATTTACATATGAAAGATTCAGCAAGTTTTGCAAAGTAAGAAGTGAGTGAAATAGGGCGTAAATTTTGCAACGTGGGTGATTGTGACTTAGGAATGGGTACTATTTCAGCTTGTTTCCAGAGTAGGGGGACAATAGAGCTCTAAAACGAGACATTAAGAATGTCAGTCATTGGGATACACAATTCGTAAGCAAATTCTCGTATTATTTTTACAGGTAGGTCTCCAGAAATCCCAGCTTTACGTTGATTAAGAGACTGCAATTGCTTGTATACTTCAAAAGGCTGGATAGAGTACAATGACCATTGGACAAGTACAATGCGACGGTAAAAATGCAGGCAATTTACATCTATCCAAACAAGGAAGATCAGCTGCTACAAAAGAAAAATGATCATTTAGTTGTAAAGAGAAGACCCACGAAGCCTCTTTTACTTCGTGAATTCCAAATTGGCGCAAAACTGAATAACAAAGAGGGTACAATTCATTGAGTGTGCACATGCACAAAGGTATGTACTTTTATATCAGACTTTGGAGGCCTTTTGAAAAATGGCCGCCAAGGCCACCACAGGCCATATCAGAGATGACATCATATCTAAAATTGCATGTTTTGGTATAAAGTACGTTTGTACAGAGTTTCATGCTTTTACCACAAATTGCACAATACTTCCACCTATCCGCTGGACTATGAGGTCTTAAAATGCAACTGCGCACGCGCACCCTGCCAGTCTGGGTCGATCACTGCACGCACTAAGCACCGCCTACTTGCACTGCCAAGTCGTCACGCAGCAATACCTGTAAACATACACTAACAATAAACCGATCACATTATTGCTAAAAAAGAGAACAGTTTGGGGAAAACCGCGGTATATGAACTTGATCGAGTTTCCATGAAAATTAAGGTTGCGCGCATCCGGGTAGGTTATTTAATCATTAATGTTATTGACACGCTCTCAGTTTAAAAGCCAGTGTTAATAAAACCTTGCTCGTTTTATAACACTCAGCGATCTTCTCTGCGATCAGACCCATAGTTTTGTTTGAATCAAAGCAGATACCGTACAGTCTATGCTCTTAAGCTGTGGTTGCACTAACAGGCCTTCAAGACTAAACAGCCCAAAAGATTGAAGTGTTATCTAAAACATGTCGGCATTGAAGAGAAGCCCCCGAAATGTCCGCAGTCCGCGCAGCACAGCGGCCATGGTCAAACACCTGCCGTCTGCGGTGGCCGCCTTACTACAGTCGGGCAAGGGGCCGGCAAAGTTGACCAACGTCGACTCCCCGGACGGGGTAAAGGCGATGCCCTTAGCCGACTGGCTATGGGACAAAAGTCGGGTGCAGGCGCAGGCGGCACTCGACACTGACTTCATCCAGGGCATCAAGAGTGGTCTTCTGGATCCCACCAACTACGGTGAGTTCTTTTATTTGGGTGACTAAGGCCACTTTTCTGTAGGGCATATTCCTATATTACAGCACCAGAAGGGATTACACCACACAGCGAGGTCACTGACAGGTGGCTATCTCATTGAATCAGCTCTCAACTAACGTAAGAAAAAGAGGATCATGGGGGACCAACAGGCACCGATTGGGGAATCTATATTCTTAAATTGTTATTATAAGATAATAAATAATAAGTGCAGTGTATTTCTTTCGGTCAAAAATATTGTTAACGTTATTTACCGTTAGTGAGAACGCATTAACTAAAAATCTATTCAGGGTTGACGCTTTGCATAACCTACAACCAGATTAAAACCAATTGCTCACTCTTCTCACCATAAACAAAGCTATATCCCACATTTAATCCACCAGGTGGCTACACAGTTCAGGACGCCGTGTACTGCCATAATGCCACTGACTACTATGGGATCGCTGAGTGTAGAGCCACCGATGAAGACCTAAAGGAATTCATTGCCGCACGCGTGAAAAGTTACGCTTCGTAAGTGTTTGGTTAAAATAATATGGGTGTGGGTGGGTGGTGGTGTGATTGATCGTTTGATTGATCGATCAATTGATCGCTTTATTTATTGATTGATCGATCAATCAATCGATCGATCTAGTGAGTGAGTGAGTAAAATACCAGCCGATCCACATAATATCCTAGGTAGATCTATGGATCCTTGCGCTCGATATCCGTAGGTACGACCTAGGCTAGTGCCGTCTCCCCGTCTTTAGTGACGCAGAATCCAAGGTTTAACCAGGGAAACTGGTCTCCGTATAGCAGCATGTACATTACGCTGATCCTTTATATACGTAGACAAACATTACAAGCGAATAATGGTGCTTGGTATTAAAGGATGCTGATTTATTTTAAATAGTCTTTCTGTTTGCATGTAGACCTATTTATTACATTTTAAAAAGACGTTGTTTGAATTCTGAGCCCGAGGGGGGGGGGGGGGGGGGGGGGGGGGGGGTATAGCAGGAGTAGGCCTACCTTCGTTTTTCTGGTGTCATTTGCTAATGTTAATTGAACTTGATGGCGGCGATTTTTGTTTTGGTCTTAGCTGGGGGAGGGGGGGGGGGGGGTAGCGGGGGTGCATTGTGGTTTTAAAGGTTTTGGGTGCTTTTCCCATCACACAGTCTAGTCTATTATCCATGACAAAATGTGGGGTGGGGAGGGGGCAGTTTTGACTCACCTTTTGCTGAAAAATATGACGGAATAAACCAAAAATGCATTAAAAAGATTTGTTTTTCTAAATTTCGGGGGATGACCCCTCTAATAATTCATGGAGATGCGTCCCCCCCCCCCTATTTGTCCTCTTGTATTGTTTTCCCTTTAAATAGGTCTTAGGTTGTCTAGCATTTTTAAAACATAGCATACTCTCTTCTTGCATTTTGTCAACATTTTAGGGGGGACGATCCAGTGATTGGACCCTCACCCCATCTCTTCCTGTAAAGGGAGTTCTATCCCCAAAATATTTCGATAAGGAAGAGAAAATAAATGTGGGTCTAAAGACGAAATAATTTTGTTTAATGGGACAAATTGTAAAAGGGAAAAATAAAAGTAGGACTGATACAAAACAGTCAAGAATATTTATGTTAAATGGGCGGGAGGGGGGGGGGGAGAGATTCACGGTTGCATCCCCTGTCATCCTTCTGGATTCACCCATGATGATCGTTAATATGTGTTATGCAAATATTATAAAATTATGATATTAAAGGAAATGCATATCTGTGCTATTACCAATCTATTTAATACTGGAATACTACTAAATTGTATTGTTTTTTCATCGTTATGGAATGTTTGCACAATAGTATCGTAATTGACCATATCACTTTGTTTTTCGAACGTGAATGTATATGGTATTGTTCATGACATATTGTGTTTTTACACAAACAAAAGTTTATAAAGGGCCTTTCCCCTATCCCCTTTAATTTTTTAAAATATGCATGAGCATCTAAATGTTTGCGAACATTCCTAAGATAACCAATTTTGTTCAATTTCTAACTATCATGTATATTCGAGGTCGACATGAGGTGACTTCAGGAGGCTTTAATGCAGCGCATGTAATGTGCGTGCTGGTTGTTATAATAATCGTAGACCTTTAAGTTCATTTTTATAGTCTAGAATTCCATACTCCTATGTTGTTCAAAATGTTAGTCCCTGTTATAAATAGATATCAATGTAAATAGCCACCTATTATCACAACAATCGTGCTCAGTAACCTACATGTGTGTGAAATGTGTCCCTTGTCCATCCATATTGACTCTGTAAAAACAAAAAATTAGTATACACGAACAACTTTGCGTTCGTTTGTAAAGACTACATTGTATTCTTTCATTCAGTCATGAGAAGATAACAATTTGCAAATGAAATGGATTTATCTTAAGATGAGATGAATTGAACAGTATTGTATCAACAATCATACAGCCTCACAATTATATAAAATAAATTTGGCTGACACCATAAAGCACTGATCTATACGTTTCTCTTTTTTTAATTTTTTTTTTATTGTAGCGTCTTAAATTTAGACTACAAAGGCCTTTTATCGTAGTTGCACGCCCAGGCAATTTTGCGTTTTAATTTTAGATCTTGTCTTTTCAAATTAGCTTACAAATGAAAATAAGCATGTTAATAAACATTTTAAATTTTGTGTTAAGTCTTGATTTTAAAATACTTAATGTATTAAAGATATTTACCCTTAGACGCTGTCATCATTTTAGGATAATTAATACACATGCCCGTTCAGCCTGAAATCAACCGTACTCCATCAAAGACCCATAATTACAAGATATTCTACTTCATAGCACTTTTGTAGTACTCTTCGAAAGATACGTGCACCATAGGTCAACACGTGAAAATATGTTTTACAAGCCCTATTTTTGCACGAGACGAAAGGATGAATATCTTAAACTTTCAACCTTCAATTGATTTCCCAGAAATAGCGTCATAATAAACAAATTATCGTCAAATCTATGGGTGCTTTTCACGACTGGCCTGCCATAGGAAGGACCATCCCAGTAGACCGATAACCCATTAGATGGACACTTCCAACAAAAATGACAAAACTATGAATTACACGAGGGAAGATATAGGAAAATGTCGGTCTCGTGGGTTGACAGTCTAATGAACCTAAACAAATACTGTTGTCTGGTCAAAGAGCTCGACAACCGCGGTTGGCCTTAGTGCATGACGGTTTCGAGCTGCATCCGCGTAATACGAATGATTTTTAAGCTTTATAAAAGTTTATATTGTTATTTTATCACAAATTATTTTATAGAAAATATTAAGGGAAATAATAGGGGAAGGGAGGGGAGGGAGGAGGATAGAGGGCAAGCCAATGCGAAAAAAACAGTATACAACCCCCTCCTACACCCCTACTCAACTGCCCTATTCATTCTATTACTTACATTTAATTAACTTTGTGACACATGCCCCCTCCCCCCCCCCCCCCCGGGCACCTTTCTCCGCCTCACAGTGGTGACACAAATCCTTACAAATTGGAGAGTGAAAAAACATTTTGGAGGAAGAGGGAAAGTGGAAATATAACACGGTACGACCTCTCTCAAACCTCCCTACTTCCCTAGCATTTCCTTGTGCGAAACTCGCCTTATACACCGCCCACCCCCTCCCCACTCCATATAGAGGCGTTAAAACGTTTTCAAAGAGGAGAGTGGTAAAGCAAGGAAAAGAAGACGCAAAGAAATAAAGAGAAAGGGCAATTTAATGAAAATTATATGATACGAGCCCCTCCCATACCCCACCCGCCTTATTCTTTCTTCAATTACCGAGTTATACCAATGACCGGAAACCGAACATTGAAAGCGTTAGTGCAGCTGCTGAGACTCGGCCCACAAAAATGGGATTCACAGTTCTTTGACGGGCCCACTATAGACTACGCACCTCTAAAGATGTGGTGCCCCTTTGACCTGGCACACACATTATTTTGGAAATACTTACTACTATTCTAGTACACTGACAAATGTAACAATTAATATTATCATTATTATTATTTATTCGGCAAAAAGAAAGAAAAGTATTGAATACAATTTAAAAAAGATTTAAAACGAAATTCGATGCATTGCGTTGCAACGGAGAAAAAAGACAAAATTGAATGCAAAATCTTTTTAAAATAATAATTTCTACACTACCGTACATTGAACTTCAACCTAGTAAATCTCGTTTTCACGATGGACAATTAGTAAGTATCTGCAGGGGCGAACTAAGTATCGTGAGAAGGTGAATGCAAACTGTTTGTCGATGATTATTTGGGGAATCCCACTGACTCTTCCATGCTCTTTTGATTACGTACAATTTCCTAAAATCTTGATTTCTCTGAAAAAAGGGCTTATTTTTCTCACCAAATATAACATAAATACAACATAATGTGAACTAAATAGAACCGAAATGAATGTTTTAAACCACACTAATCCCTCCCTACCCAACCCCAGTTGCGGATCCGGGGGGGGGGGGGGGGCTGATTCCTCCTCCCCTGGCAAGAAGAACAGGTTTTTTAAAATGGTAACGTTAATTTTACCTTTAAAAAAAAATTACACGCCCCCGGAAAAAATGAGGGGGAGGGGTTGGGTGAAAAATAGTGCTCACTACCCCCCCCCCCTCCCTGATTCGATGCTAAATATTTTCTCACGAATTGGACCAACGACAATAATAGGGCTCATTCATTACCCCCCCCCCCCCCCGGATCGTCAGCGGTTAAATCGTCAAGCTCGGAATATGTTTCATGTCATTGAATTAATGTAGTAGTTATATACTTATTTTAAAAAATATGATAGGAACGTGTTTTATTTTTCATTTGTCTTTGTTTTGTTTGAGATGTATACAATAATTATAATCCGCATAAAGAAACGAAGAAGATATTGGCCTTCTTTTTGATGAAAAAATATCCATCCATCAAACCAACTCAAAGAAATAGTCCACTTTTTGGTTATTTTGACATGGACCTCTTTAGCTCCACAAAATTGGTTATGCACTATATATTTACTTAATAAAATTAAGAAAATTGAATAAGCTAGGAGATAAGCTTTCTGAACATCAAGGATAAAAACATTGCATTATATTTCTAAAAGAATGCTATAGAAGGATACAATTTAACAAATCGAGAAGAACAATCAAAAGTGATACGGACAAGTAAGTGCAATGACCATGTGCATGGGTCTAGATATTGCTTTTCAAAGTAGTTTATTCTATCAGCCTCCCTCCATATGACTACAGTCAACCTTGATCGACTGAGGAAAAAAAATAAATTCTTATTCCAATACCAGGCATTTCTCCAGGGTAGAAGGAATCTGTTACGCCCTATCTACTTCTTTCAATGATTTTATTCTTTTCGTGCGTTTCACGGCGTGTACATTCGGGTCTCGAATAACGAATGTGTATATTCGTGTCTCGAATAAGACTAGGATTAAGGCTGCGCACCATCGCGGACGCTATTTTAAAGGAACAATCTGCAATGTTTAATGCTTGCCTTGGCATGATTGTCATGTTACAGTTTTCTTAAAAATGGTTTCAGACATGGGTGTCGATCCGTAACTGATACCTATTCATCAGGGGGGGGGGGGATGATCTATTCATTCATCTCCCCCTGATGAATAGGTATTACGTAAGGATCGACACCCATGGTTTCAGAAAAGAGAAACAATTTTTGAAATTATGTTTGAAAGGGGAAAACGATCTTTCTTGGAAAGCAAGATGGCGTCAGTCCAAGGTTTGACGATGCACATTTGAAGCTCACTAATTAAAGATTGATAATAAGAAGAATAAGTAGTACTAGCAGTGGTAGTAGTAGTGGTGGTGGTGGGGGTGGTGGTGGTGGTGATGGTGGTAGAAGTAGTAGTAATAAATTGTAGTAGTTGTAGGCTAGAAGAAGTAGTAGTACTAGCATAAAAGAAGTAATAGTAGTAGTATAGTAGAAGCAGTGGTGGCGCACCAGGGGGTGGGGACAGGGGGACACAATACCCATCCATCCAACCCGCCTCCACACTTTCAAGTACCCGAAAGTGCCAATTTTTACATTTGCTTTAGATAAGAGTCCATTTTTATTTCTAATAAGTGCCCGTTCCACATTCTTATAAGTGCCTCTTACCACCTCTGACCTCTAATTAGTGCTCCCTTCAAATGTCATAATTGCCCCTTTTCCTTTGTACTATATGCCCCTTTTCTATTCTCATTAGTCCCTTTTTAATCTCTGCTAAGTACCCCTTTTCAGGTGCAGGAAGGGTCCCATTTTTATTTCTGATAATATCCCTTTTTTAATTTGACACGTGCTCCTTTTCTTTTTTATAAGTGATCTTTGCCATTTTGATAAGTTCCCCCTTTCCCTTACACCAGACAAATATGTTCCAAAAATTCAAAATGACATTGTTTTTTTGTTTTTGCTTTGATTTCCCCAAAGCTCGCTCGCCTGCATGTATAGTTTATATAACTTTTTTCTAAAG